ACTAAATAGAGCTAATCAAGCCTATTGTTAGTCGATGGCCCTCTTTTGCATGTGACTAGCCTGTTTGTCCATGGCAGTCCATGACAGTGCTTATAAGGCTGAGTTCACCTGAAACTCATCAGACTGAAGAAGTCTCTTGGAGGAGAGACGAAAAGTTTCACTAAAGAAGAACCCATCCRGAGGACCTACCTATTTTTTCTTTTTGATTTTTTTCTACCTGGATCACTGAGATGCATCATTATAAATTTATAAAACTGCCACAAATATATTATCAAACTATTTAATGGCACATGTGACCTAACCACTGAAAACATGTATGAAATAAGAAATATGAAACATATAAAAGGCATACAAAACATGTAGTGTTTATATAAATGTAATATTGTCCTGATCTACATTTTTCAATACATTTGTTCTTGAACAGTTATTTTCTGAGATAAATGCTCAGAAAAGTTTGTTAATCATATGTTTATATTTACATTTCTTTATCCTTCTGTTTAGTGAGGCCATCACAAGCTGAAAAAGTWGTAAGAAATTTTTTTCTGGATTAAAACCTTGTTATCCCATGATGTTACATGGAAATAACAGAAACAAGACTAAATCTTGTTTTGGTGGATTCAGCTCAAATGCTGGGAAAACAAGAAATATTGTGTGTTGAYGTCACAATTCAAGTTTTGTTTTTTATTCCTGCTTTGGGAGTCCTGTACATGTGCAATGTGTGATCAGAGCTGAGAGTCACTGCTTTCAACCTGTCCAGCACAGCAGCATTATAAATCAGCAGCAGGGCAAAACCAGACAATTCCAACTCACTGATCATTTCCACCTGTTGCACACATGAAAATGTTTTTATTGTAGTTTACAACCAAGATGCCCTCTGTTCTTACGAGGTGCGCTGCATACAGCACATGCAAACAGCTCGAGGGAGCTATTTAATAAAGGGATAACCTGGCTGTTTTAAAAGTGGGTTTGCATGTTAATATTTAAAATGAAGACCTCACATGATCAGTTTACCTCTGAAGCCTCATGCAGCAACTCAGCTGCAATCAGCAGAGAGGAGGAATGCTCAAATCTGCTCCCGCACTAATTTACAGAGCGGGATGTAATCAGTGTGCATTGCCAATGCAATGCACACTATTGTGATTCGTTTCCCATCCAAGTCATCTCCACTTTGGYAYGCTTCTCCTCCTGCATACTTTGTCCTAGAGCTGCCATTGTAATTTATATCTGTAAAGCTCCTGTGCCAAATGATTGCTATGCCTTTTGGTGCCTGTACAACTTATAGTTTTTGAAATATTAATGTTTAAAATCAAATAATGGGAGTCAATGGAGCCTTGCATTCGTCCAAAACTGCCCCATGCTGTATCTACTCAGTACTGCACCATGGTTTAATAATATTTAAAGTCAGTAGTTCAGTGTTTACAATACAAACATGATTGTATTTGATATTTCACTATAATATTGTCCTAATATTCCTTTATTGTTGTAAAATATTGCAGTTTAGTGTCAACAATTGCATTGGCAATTTGACCTCTTTCAGCACACATACAAACAACACTGGGAGAGCCTACTGCAAAAGCTCGTATAGTCTCATGGTGAGCATTATGGGCTTTCATGCGGGAGATCAGGGTTCAATCCCAACCATAAACAAAATGTTTCATTACAACTACATATTTTCTAATTGTCATATTCTCACACAATTACCCTCATTACAAACAACTGCTGACTTGGCAGGCACAAGCTGGTACTTGATTAACAAACACATTTCAACTTGGTCACAGTTCAAGCTGCAGGCAATGGCATGCTACAAGGCAATGCACACTTGTTTTTACATAGTAAAAACCCATGTCTAGTTTTTACTGTAATGTAATTTCTCTGATACTGTCATACTAAAATAAATCTCTGAACCCACAGCCTCACAGCCTCAGTCACTTCTTCACCTTGTCCACACTGTGTGACTGTTTGGTTAAATTTGATATTCTCACAAAAWTTAATGTGGGTCTGAGYATTAAAGTCATGGAATTTTCTTAAGTTGATTTATGACATCAACCTACACCAACACCACTTGGAGTCCTCTTTCCAACAGAATAATGTTGCCATCAGGAAAGTTGAGGAAGAAGAGCAGAGGGTTGTTAGCACTGCTTGTGTGTAGGGCTGTAGTGATACACTTATCTCACGATACGATATACGATATTCTGCTCACGATACGATATATGTCATGATATTCAGCAAACAATACGATTCAATGCGATTCRATTTTCTGAATGATTTTAGAGGGACAAAGTGATTGWGGTGACATTTTGTGACTGTTCCATAGACTTGGATTGAATTAATTGAATTGAAAACTGATTAATAGCACCAACAACACAATACCTGCTCTGATTGGACAGAGACCTAGTCTACAGCTGGACAAAATTAATCAAAGATGCGGTGAGAAAATTAGTTTCCTTTAATTGAAACAGTGGTATTCACAGGGGAATTTCGCACACCGTCCCTCTGGGACCCCCTAACCTCGTGGCGCCAGATGCCTGCCTGCCTGCCTTCCGTAACGTGACAGCTGACTACATTCATAAAAAGAGCGCCCCAAATGAGACACTTCAATTTGGCTTAAAATACAAACATTCTGACTAATAAGTAACTGTCGGTAACCTTACTTCAGCTTAGAAGGCAGAGGGTGTCGGTCTTTTCCGCTCAGATTCATCCATTGGTGCATAATGCTAATGTTTACTCACCATGCTAATGCTACCCTTGCTCTCTGGCTCTTTAGGAGTAGAGGAGCCAAATGGCTGACTCACTGCTGCCAGCTAGTGGTCAGAGGCTGAACTACAACATAAAAATGAACCGTTGGCAGGAAAGTTGACATTTTAAACCTTAATTAAAAATCGATACAAGGCTTTAGAGAATCTATACTGTATCGGGAAATGAAATATCGATATACAGTATATCAGTGTATCGATATTTTCCTACACTACTACTTGTTTGGCAGATTGCTTCATGGATTAAAGTGTTAACATGCTCTCCTGTGGTTTCTTGTATTTTATTAGTTAAGCGTACATCCTCTGAGAGTAATTTTAATTCTCCCTGTCTTTGTCTCCCTGTCTCCCCTCAACTCTTACTTCTGTACCATCTCCATGCTTTCTTTGTTCTTTATTTTTGTCCTGCTACCTTATCTTCGTTTCCATCAACTGCAATGCTTTACATCATAGGTACCTTCAGCAAGTCAGCAGCCATCCAACTGAAGGAAACAGCAGCTGGGGAAGATGACAGAGCAGATAAGCTACTGATTGCCCACCCTGAAATTTCCTCTCCACTCAGTCATGATTCACCACGTACTCCCCTGCCCACTGCTCACAAGCAGCCCATGGACCAAGAAGTACAGTTGGGACAACCCAAGCCAGAGCCTAACAAACAGGCAATGGAGGATCTTCAGAGTCTTGATGTCGTGAAGATTCAAAGAGGTATCAGTATGGTAGCCGGTCAGAGTAGTGGAGGCAGAGACTACAATTCCTACAGACCCAGTCGAAGGGGGTCCCCAAGACAAAGTGCCCATGATCACTTTGACATCAATGAGCACCTGCCCTGGATGATAGTCCTCCTACTGCTGCTGGTGTTGGTTGTGATTGTAGGGTGTAGTGTGAAGCGAAGCTCTCAGGTGTTGAAGAAGGGCCCAGTGCAGGACCCCAATGACATCATGGAGAAGGCAATTCAGAAGAAACCACCTGTGCCTTTGACCCAGGTCAGAGAGAAGTGGATCTACTACTCTAACGGACAGGGTAAGTCTATCATCAAAACTTAATGCCTGCCACTGTTTAACTACAGCACTCCACAAGTTGAGCTGATGGGACCTCTAATACACTATATTACCAAACGTATTCGCTCACCTGCCTTGACTCACATATGAGCTTTAGGGCTGTAGCGATACACTTATCTCACGATACGATATTCGATATTCTGCTCACGATACAATATATATCACGATATTCAGCAAACGATACAATTCGATACGATTCGATTTTCTGAACAATACTAGAGGGACAGAGTGATTGTGGTGACATTTTGTGACTGTTCCATAGACTTGGATTGAATTAATTGAAATGAAAACTGATTAAAAGCACCAACAATGCAGTACCTGCTCTGATTGGGCAGATTTTTACAGGGGAACTGAATTTTGCACAACAACCGCTAAGCTCGAGGCGCTAGGCGCATGCCTGCCTGCCTGCTTCCGTAACATGACAGCTGACTACAGTCAGAAAAGGAGCGCCCCGAATGAGACACCTCAATTTGGCTTAAAATATAAACATTCCGACTAATAAGTAACCGTTGGTAACCTTACCTCTGAAGACGAGGGTGTCTATCTTTTCTGCTCAGATTCAGCTGTCAGTGCACGAAGCTAATGTTTACTCACAATTCTAATGCTACCGTTATTCCCTGGCTCCTTAGGAGTAGAGGAGCCAAATGGCTGGCTCACTGCTGCGAACTAGTGGTCAGAGGCTGAACTACAACATTAAAATGAACCATTGGCAGGAAAGTTGACATTTTAAACCTAAATTAAAAATCGATATAGGGCTTTAGAACATCGATACAGTATTGGGAAATGAAATATCAATATACTGTATATCGGCGTATCGATATTTTCCTACACCCCTAATGAGCTTTCGTGGCATCCCATTTCTAATCTATAGAGTTCAGTATGACGTTGGTCCATCCTTTGCAGCTAGAACAGCTTCAACTCTTCTAGGAAGGCCGTCCACAAGGTTTAGGAGTGTTTATGGGGATTTTTGACCATTCTTCCAGAAGCGCATTTGTGAGGTCACATACTGATGTTGGACAAAAGGCCTGGCTCTCAGTCTCCACTCTAATTCATCCCAAATGTGTTCTATGGGGTTGAGGTCAGGACTCTGTGCAAACCAGTCAAGTTCCTCCTCACCAGACTCTGACATCCATGTTTTTATGGACCTTGCTTTGTGCACTGGTGCACAGTCATTTGGATGGGTGAGCAAAAACCTTTGGCAATATAGTGTATTTCTCTTTCAAATTAATGTGTTTAATAATACAAGCATCAGTATAGCTGAGTTTTCCCCCTGCTGTCTTGTGTCTGATTTCTCCATACCCTCAAGCACGTCTTGTCATGAAAGCTGGAGTTCTTTTTCAAACTGACTGTTCCAGTTGTATGTGATGTTATGCTTTAGTTTTGCTGATCTGCTGATGTGTTTGAAATGCTGTTACCATCTCATTCAATCAATTCTACCCCAAAGCACATGGTGTAGAGGGCAGTGGTTACACAAACAAGGGCATGACCCTTTTTGTAGAACCATTGCAATGTCACTATCCAGGTTTGATCTTCTGTCTTTTTTCTCAGTTTTTCTTATTTTTTAAGTTCTCACTTTTTGTGTTTGACATTTTGTAACTCCTTTCTTTTGCCTCTGTTTTTTTTTCCAAATGTACCTTCTTATAATGGTTTCATCAAGATTATTATTGATTCAGTTTAAACTTTTATATTCCCTATCTCAGTTTTTTTCTCTTTTATACTTTTTTTGTCTTTTTGTCATATAAAAGAGGAACAGCAATAGAACATGAACTTAAATAATAATAAGTAAGTATAAACACAGTTCTCATACATTTATGTCTGTTGCATTGAGGTCCACCAGTATTGTGTTTTCACAATAAATGACAGTCACTGTCTAGAATTTCCCTTTACATTTCTTTTTACGATTTTTTTTTTGCCTAACATGAACTATTCCCATTGCATTTATGAAAACAGTCCTAAAGTGTTGAAACTGGTTTCACCTGAGTGTCATAGAAGTGTCTTAAGTATCGGACAAGTTTTTTTAATGACTTAAAAGGTATTTCTATTGGTCAAAGTGCCTATTGCTGTTATGCCTCTTTATCTCGTCCTGTTTTGCCCTTTCTTTTGTCTTGTACTCCTCTGTACACTTCTTTTATTATATTTTGTCATAATTTCTCCATGAGTTTTAGTTTCGTTCAACTCTCATCCAGATTATTAACCTTCCATCAACAGTTAGGGAACATTTTGGTCCACCACAAAGCTCTGAATCTTACCCTGACAAAGAGGGAAAACCCATTCTCAGGGGACACCTCCTGCCCGAGACACTCGAGTCTCCACTTGGAAACACAGTTAATGTGTGTGTGTGTCAGAGTATGTGTTTGTATGTGTGATGAAGCTGAGCCACCCGCCACTGTCTGTTCCCTCTGTGAACATCCAAAGAGAACTGGAATAATCTGGTTTCAACTGCATCGGGGTTGTTTGGTTGGCAAGGCAAGTTAGTGGGTCAGTCGGGTCTGTTACAGGACAGAGAAGAGATATATGGAGTGAAGGAAATGAAAAGTCTGTGAAACAGGTTTCTTTCAAGTGTGTGCGGTTGATACGGGAAGGCAAATGATAGTTTTCCTTCCATTACCAAAAACCTTAAATGATCCGAGAAGGAAAAGTGTAAAGTTTGAAGCAAATAAACAGAGTATAATCTTGTGCCAGCAGGAATTGAATTTGAATTGCTCAGATTGAATCTGAATGTGCATAATTGGAAATTGAATGCAATGGTTTGAAAATAAATGTTACTAAATTGAAACTGAGTTTAAAGTTTTGTATCTGAATTAATTTGCTTTTAAACTGTATTTTGGTTGATAAAAAATTCAGTTTGACTACTTTCACTTTCAGTTCCATAATTCAGCTTTTTGTGTCACATCCTGGTCCTTGAGAAAGCCAGGCAGARTAATCAAACACAGATCCACAGATTTATGTTTCACTTTGGTCAGGTTTCCCTTCTGTATGTAACAGAGTTTATGCAATCCACTGTAAAAGTGACAAAAACAAAGTTATTTTATTGCCTATATGTAGAAAATGTTACATTTACATCACATCATGGATCACATATTGGTCAGCTACTGCTGCTGACTGAACGATGACAGGATGTAAATGTAACAATTTCTACATATACTGTAGGTAAAATTAATCACTGCAATAAAATAACTGTCTGTTTTTGTCACTTTTACAGTGGATTGCATCAACTCTGTTACATACAGAAGGGAAACTTCACCAAAGTGAAACATAAATCTGTGGATCTGTGTTTGGCTACGTTCACACTGCAGGCAAATCCGACCCAAATCCGATTTTTTTGACCCATCTGACTCATATCCGATTTTTTTATGACAGTCTGAACGCGACAAATCCGATTTTTTCAAATCCGACCCAGGCCGTTTCAGTATGTGGTTTTAAATCGGATATATATCTGATGTTTTCAAAGTGACTGCAGTGTGAACGCTCATGTCACATTCATCTGACTTTTTCATCAGTGAGGAGGGGGTGAAAGATCGATAAGACACTAACCTGAAGTCTCGCTGTTTAAATCTGCAGCTCCGTGTGTTTACAGCTCCAAAACACAAGTCCAGTTGTTTCATCTTTTTACTTTTCATTTTCCACATAGATAGTTTGAAAATAACATGTCCAGCCTGGGTCGCGGAGAGTATCGATCCTAAAGTTCGATACTTGGTCGATACTTTTTTCCAGCTCGTAGTTTCGTTCAAAAAAAAAAAAAGCTTCACTGGAGCATCCCGGTCAGAGGCAGCTTCAGATATAAACACTGAACTAAAGAAGCATGTCAGATAATTATTTAATCGGCTCTGATTAAACAACAACTTCTGATACGATGCGCAAAATGTAGCATCCATGCTAGCTCTGTAAACAAACAAGCCGGCTGATGAGACGTCACGTCTTTTACTGCGCATGCGTGTCACATCAGTGCTGTGTAGTGTTCACACAGGGGTCTGATGCAGGTCACATTTAAAATGTAATGTGAACGTTCACACAAAAAGATCGGATTTTTTCAAAAAATCGGAACTGAGCATTAAGACCTGCAGTGTGAACGTAGCCCTTGATTACTCTGCCTGGCTTTCTCAAGGACCAGGATGTGACACAAAAATCTGAATTTTGGAACTGAAAGTGAAAGTAGTCAAACTGAATTTTTAATAGACCAAAATACAGTTTCAAAGCAAATTAATTCAAATACAAATCTTCAAATTCAGTTTCAATTTAGTAAAATTTATTTTCATACCTTGCATTTAATTTCAAATTATGCACATTCAGATTCAATCTGAGCAATTCAAATTCAATTCCTGCTGGCACAAGATTTATCCCATAGCAGAGGAGTTAGCTGAGAACAAAGCAAAGTTAAAAAATATAGCTTTGATTTTAAGGTTATCCTTGTTAAAACAGAAATTAGGCTATGTTCACACTGCCAGCAAATGAAACCCAAATCTTTTTTTTTTCCTCATGCGACCCATATCATGTCTTTTCAGTATGTGGTACTGAATCAGATACATACGTTTTTCAAAGCGACTGTAGTCTGAATGCTCATGTCGCATTATTAGCATAGTGTAAACAGAGCTGTATCACTGTGCCTGTGGTGTATGCCATCAAGCACTGATATAACGTATATAATAAAAATTTTTGAAGTCATATCATCGTTGTTGAAACTTTTTCTAAATGTTTCTATTTATTAAATTATTGTCCAGCACTAGACAAAATGTAATGTATTCATGAGTGATAATGAAATTGGAGGCTGTCATATCTAATAGAACTGTTTCTCAGATGAACCTTTTATAACACTGGTGTGTTGTCCTGACTGGATGAGTAATCCCGTGCCCATGTGTATGCATTTATCTGGGGAAATATGTATGCACATGCAACTCAGACAGCTAGTTTACTCTAGTATTTCTTCTCTGGAACATAAAAAAAATGAGTTCTTAATCCTTTCAA